CTGGCAGCAGGGCGGGCACAAGAGCCGTGTGGCCCCCGGGATGTGCATCCATCCCCTGCCCTTAGCCCGGGAGCAGGAGGAGAGGAACGAGCCCTTCATCCCCTCCGGCTCCCGAGGCAGTCCCGTCCCCGCCGCAGCCGGGGTGGATGGAGGCTGCAGCCGGCGACTGCAGCCGGCGCTGCACTGTGTCCCCAGCCGTCCCTGCCATCCGCGGGCCACCACTGCTCTCTGCTGGCCACGGGGACGAGCATCCTGCCTGGGCTCCCTTCCCACGCTGCGCTCTAACCAAGCTCTCCTCCTCCCCAGCCTCAACATCACCAACAGCGACATCCTCACCATTTACGATGGGGATGAGCTCACCGCTCGCATCCTGGGGCAGTACGTCGGCAGCAGTGGTCCCCAGAAGCTCTACTCCTCCAGCCCCGACCTCACCATCCAGTTCCACTCGGATCCTGCAGGGCTTATCTTCGGGAAGGGGCAGGGATTCATCATGAACTACATAGGTATGGAAAGCAGGGTGCTGGTGTCCCCCCTGCCCCTGCCATGCAGTTGGGGATGCGACACACAGACAGCCCAGGCTGTCCAGGTGGCAGGTCTGGAAGCAAGGAGAATGGCTGTGGTACCTGCACTCCACATCCCACCAAACTCCTGCAGAAACACTCATCCCTGCTGCAGGTCTCTGGGTCAGGCAGTTCTGGGGTGTCCCTGTGTGTTTCCCCTCCTCCAGGCTGGCAACAAGGCATTTTTGGTCCCTGTTAGATCTGGTCTGGCCCAGAGGGAAAGAAATTGCTGGAAATAGGGATGCAGGATCCCCACATGTTCCCTGTAAGGCATGAGCTGATGGCACTGAGGCACAACAGTGAGGTGTCCTGAAGCCAGTCCCTGGGTAGGCTCCTGAGACAGATGTTCCCAGCTCCTTGCTCCAGAGGGGCTCAGAATGCACCAGGAGATACCTATTCCATCATTCTTTGGAGATACCTATTCCATCATTCTTTGGGGCAACCTTTTCTGCCAGACCAGAGTGGCTGCTGCCCATGGAGGGGACAAGGACTGGGAAGGGCACTCCTTCCCTGTGGCTGCCTGTGGCCTCACTGCCTGCCTCTCCCCCACCTGCCTTCCCCTGCCAGACACCTCCCAAGCATGTTTTCCTTGCACTGCTGACAGCCCTGGCTACAACAAACAGAGCAAGCTGCAATGCAGAGCACCTGTGAGGCTGCAGGTTCCTCCTTTGTGCACTGCAGCACACACGGCTGGGCTCAGGCACGGGCATGGGCTGGGGAGGGCAGGGCAGAAATCCTCATCCCAGCAAACCATCCCAGTGCTGTAACTGGTGCTGGCACTGCTCCTGCACCTGCAGCCAAAGCTGAGCCTGATGTTCTCAGGTTGTCCTGACCCCAGCATAGACACTGCCCCATCTGAGTGCTCCATCTGCTTTTACGATCGGGGCTGGGGAGGCTTCAAAGAGCCCCCATTACCCACAGCTGCCCCTTCCCTGTGCCCAGGGGATGCCACAGGTGGGATGGGATGTTGGCTGTGGCACTTGAGGCTGGAGAGCTCTGGGGAGGGAAGAGCTGTGTGTCCAGATGCAGTGGTTCCAAGGAAGGCTGTGCTGTGGGATCCTGCTCAGTCAGCCAGAATCCCTCATGTCCACAGAGGTGTCCCGCAATGACTCCTGCTCTGACCTGCCCGAGATCCAGAATGGCTGGAAGACCACATCACATACAGAACTGGTGAGAGGGGCCAAGATCACCTACCAGTGCGACCCAGGCTATGACATCGTGGGGAGTGACACCCTCACCTGCCAGTGGGACCTCAGCTGGAGCAGTGACCCTCCTTTCTGTGAAAAGAGTAAGTGCCTCAGCAAGGTGCTGCTGTCCCACCCTCCTGGGACGGTGCTGGCCCTGCTGCTGTGCTGGGGCTCCCTGCTCTGCCAGTCCCACTCAGCCATCCTCTTCTCCCCAGTTATGTACTGCACGGACCCAGGTGAGGTGGAGCACTCAACTCGCCTCATCTCTGACCCAGTGCTGCTGGTGGGCACCACCATCCAGTACACCTGCAACCCTGGCTTCGTGCTGGAGGGCAGCTCACTGCTCACCTGCTACAGCCGTGAGACTGGGACGCCCATCTGGACCTCACGGCTCCCACACTGTGTCTGTAAGTTCCAGTGGTCTCTCCTGCTCTTTGGGGGTGTCCCAGGGAGCCCTTTCCTGCCACTGGGACCTTCCCCAGCTGCAGGGGGTGGTGCAGAGCCTTGAGCTACCTGGAAGCAGGGTGGGGTGAGACCTCAGGTGCTTTTCTGCTGCCCTCAGGCTCCTTCTCTCCCTTGGTAGCCCAAGCCCTGAGCTCATTCTGGCTGTGTTCTCTTTCAGCTGAGGAGTCACTGGCCTGTGATAATCCAGGACTGCCAGAAAACGGGTACCAAATTCTTTACAAACGCCTCTACCTGCCAGGAGAGTCCCTGACCTTCATGTGCTACGAGGGCTTTGAACTCATGGGGGAGGTGACCATCAAATGCATCCTGGGCCAGCCATCCCACTGGAGTGGACCCCTACCCATCTGCAAAGGTAATGGGGGAGTGGCTGGGGAAAACAGGAACAGCCAACACCTCTGTCCCCAGTCTGGGACAGCCCAGGGACCTTGGTCTGGTTGCAGACCTCTGGCAGTTCCCTGGCTGGGAGCTGAATTTGGCTCTTCCCTGGCATTAGGCTGAGTGAGCTCTGCTCTGCCCAACCCACTCAGTCCCCACCCACACACTTACAGACACCAAGATCTCGTTAAAAACTGAGGGTTTGCAGTGTAGTTTGGGACCAAACAGGGCAGGAGACCCTGGGTTTGGGCTCCCCAGCATTCAACAGCTGCCAGCACCCAGTCAAACCCAGCTACGTACCAGTAACTCTCCATTTCTCTTCCAGTGAACCAAGACAGCTTTGAACACGCTCTGGAAGGTGAGGGATGTGGGTTTGGTGGATGCACAGGGCCCTCAGCCAGAGCCTGGTGGAGCCCAGGAGGAGGGGGGGGCAGGCAGAGAGGGGATCACACGGTGCCTGCAAATGCCAACATAATAGATCTTGTCCTTTCAGTAGCAGAAGCTGCTGCAGAGACATCGCTCGAGGGGGGAAACATGGCCTTGGCTATATTCATCCCAGTGCTGATCATCTCCCTGCTGCTGGGAGGAGCATACATCTATCTCACAAGGTGGGAATGTACATCTGTCTCACAAGGAGGGAATGCAGTCGGGCTGGGGGCTGGCACAGAGCCCTGGAGGACATAGCACTGCTATGCCTTTGCCAGCCACGCACCCTGGGCACAGTGCTGGGGAGTGCTCCAGGGTCCCTGGGATGCTGGTGTGCAGCCAGGCTAGGGGGACACGGATGGATGGGGCTGGTCATGGTCTGTTCTGGGGTCAGTCTGTGCAAGCTGTTGACTCTGGCTTCTCCCCACAGGTGTCGGTATTACTCCAGCCTCCGCCTGCCTCTCATGTACTCCCACCCCTACAGCCAGATCACGGTAGAAACGGAGTTTGACAACCCGATTTATGAGACAGGGGTGAGTCCTCTGCCTGTCCTCCCTGGGGACCCTCCTGGTGGGTTTGGCTGGGTGGACAGCCATGGGATGAGTCCAGTCACGTTGCTGCAGGAGCTCTGAGTAGCAGGACAGGAGTCTGTCCCTGTTGGTCACTCCCCAAGAGCCAGAGGGGAGGCACAGGGAGCTGCAGGGTCCAAGCTGAGAAAGCATCACTCCCCTGGCAGCAAAACAGCACCCCACACCTCTCTTGCTGCCTGGGAATGGGGGGATGCTCCTGAAATGCAGGTGCTGCCCTCAACTGGCTTCTCCTTCCTTGCAGGAAACACGAGAATACGAGGTCTCAATATAAGGACAGCGGTAAGAGAGTCTCCGGCTGCGAACTTAATGTGCTCTCATAGAACTTCCTCAGTAACTAATCCAGAGACCACGTGGAGTTTGGTTGGACCCCCGGACCTGCTGTTGTCTTTCCTTTTGCCTCTTTATTGAAGATTTTACTGTTTTCTTCACTGTATTTATTCTATTTAAACTGCGATAGGTGTGCTGCCGAGCCCTGGGCACAGGCAGCAGCGGGAGCCGGGGCAGAGCTGGGTCCTGGTGAGGCCAGGGGGGCGCGGGGGCACTGCTGTGTCCCCTGGCACTGCCCACACACACACTCAAGGGGAATTTTGGCGGTTCTGATGTTGTTAAAAATTAAAGATGTCTCCATTGCAAGAGCCTGCGGTTGATTGCTGGGAGCTGAGGTAGTGCAGGGTCCCATCCCGCAGCTCCCAGCTCCCCACGTTGGGACCCTCGCCCGGGGGCTCGGGGGGCACTGGCACAGGGACCATCCTCGCTGCGGGGCTCAGGAAAGCTGCCGGCAGGGAGCAGGGACAGCCTGGCACGCAGAAGGTACACGCCGCTTTCTTTTCCCCGCTTTGCTTTGGATGTGGAGAGGCAGCGAGCCAGGACTCACGGGGTGATGCTCTGCGGAGAAGCACCAAGCAGTGACCCCCAGCGGCGCGGGGAGCCCTGGAAGATGCTCTGCAGCGAGCGGAGCTCCGCACCAGTGTCTCTCCGCTCACACCGCTTGTTTCTCTCCAGCAGCACATACCGACACCCTGCCAGGA